GTTAGTAATGCATCATTGATGTGTCGGATGAGAGAATGGCATCACTAGACTTAACTGGATATTCCCCTTTTTCTATCTCACCTTCTCAGGATGCTGCACAGGTTTCTGGAGGAACTAGTGAGTCTTTTTAATGACAAGTTGGATGTGAACGTGAGATGGTGAAGCAGGCAAAGCAGAATGACAATCATTAGGTTAGACTCACATGTCAATGACACCAGGGTCGAAAGGTGGTGGGAAGTTGGATAGAGCACGCCATGGAGCATAGTGGCTACACTGATGCCCACATCCAGCCTTCATCTGCTTGATTATTTATAGTCGTATACGTTCCATGAATGTCACCGTGTTACAAGAAATTATCGCAGCAGACCATATCAAAATGTGCACGAACATTGAAAGCCAGATACAATAATTTATGATTTTGTATACAAGGAACCAAAATTAAATGGCTAAATTTTTGCCCTTTTTCCCAATAAATTGTCTGTTCAACCAGAGTGATGGGATGACATATTAACTCCCACTCTAATGCATATTAGCAAATCACCCTTCATAATGCTGAGATTAATTGTCATTTTTTTTACAGAAAAAACCTTTACAGCACCTGAAAATAAGCCTTTTTGACAATTGCTAAATTAGAGAATTTGTTGTCTGCATTCTTGCAGATGTTGATGGTCTCAACATTAGGTCATAAACAATGCTGAATGATACGGAAAGGCGATTTATTGCGAGAAATCCCCACTTTAAATAAAACAATTTTAGCCTTAAAATAATAACTTATCAGGTTTTCTAAATTACCCTACAAGAGGCAAAAATAAAATCAGTTTCTGTAGCTAGAAGGCTCTAATTTGGTAGTGTAGGGCCCGAAGACTGCCTTAAAGACGGAAGAAGATATTACCAGGGCGGAACATTAATTTCTGAAGTACAGAAGAGCTGGAAGGGGACTACTGGCATGGCTGATGGGCAATGCCACCCAGAAAAAGTACAAAATGCGTAGCCTTAAGTTCTTGTTGCGTAATTATAATAAAGAGTTAAACAGAAACTCGTTGTTCGCGGTGCACCCCGGTGGTCAACCTTCCACGTAGGTGCTGTAAAGCAGAAAACCCACAAATCAAATTCTCTAGTCATCAAGTTTGCGTAAGACTGAGAAGACATTTGAAAACGACGTTACCAATCTTTCTTGGCAATTCCACTGGATCTATAGCTTCGTCCTGTTAGGTATGTGAACTGGAGTGTGCAGGCCATCGCGCACGCCCATCGCTAGTTTAAATTACGCTATCCCAAAAGCAGACATTTAGCCAAGGATGGGATTTAAAATAATTTGTAAAGAAAAGGTTTTGTGTCTGTTTCTTCCTTCCACTCTATTCTCGCTTTAGTACTTTAAGGCATATTTATATTTGGGTTCCTTTCAGCAAGTAGAGAGGTGAAGGCGGCTCACCTAATTGACATAGTCAAACAGGTACTGTGGACAGCTCCCTGCAGAACACGGGACTCGGGTAGTAGCTGAGACAAGACGTTATTTTCAACCCTTTTGTTGGGGTCCTCACAGATTATTACATCCATAGTATATGTCTTACTTCCTTCACATTAAATTTTAACATTCAGGAATAAAAATTGACTTTGCTTTTCGCTGCCACCAATGTTGCCTTCCGGGTCCTTCCTGAAGGCGTAAGAAGTCATACCTCTAGGTCATAATATGTACTGGCGATAAACAGAAGAGCTAAGGAGCTACTGGCATTGCCCGAAGGCTACGTCGCCCAGCCAGCATCGCATCCTTAACTACGGAGCGTTCAAACAATAGGAGATGCGAAGCTGACCACTAAAAGGTGTTTGGAAATCTTCTGTAATAAATACATAACATATCGTATATTTTTACTCACTTAAAGGTAAGTGCCAAAAAATAGTAAGAAAAACCACGCAGTTGTTCAATACTCCTTCATATTCCAGCAGATCAACATGATTGCTATTTCAAGAGCATCTGTGAGGGAACCAAAACTTCAAAGAGTACAAGAAATGCAAATCCAAGGAGAACTTCGTGTACGCACCTTTCCTTAAATCACTATTGTAAAGATGATAAATGTTTATGCGCGTGTATGCATTCGTTATCTTCCCATATTCAACTCCAAAGGCATACTTTGGGAAAAAAGAATCATTTCATGGCTACCGTTCTCCCCATTTCAGGTTTGCGAAAAGGAGCTAATTTGACTGGTTGTTTAAAATCCCCTGAATAATCGCTACGGGATAGAACAGTTAACAAAAATACATGCGGTGGTTGTTTTTATCTGCGTTTGATAACGCAGAGGCCATTTTTATTCTACAGGCGGTATTTTCGCCTAGAGGCATTGTCTTCTAAACATACCTATAGTCTCTCAGTCTCTCTTTGCATCACTGAAAAATGTTACTCCTTTCTGGCGTGGCTTATTCCAACCTAAGGTAAAGCCTAAAGCGCTACACCGCTGGGAGCATTGAGTAAACTTAAATTTAATCCTAATTTTGCTGGCTTATAATCAAATTTGAATATCAGGATGGACGGAGACTCGCTACAGAAGGGCGAAAAC